AACTAGCACACACGACAATACCAAACGAATATCATCGAAAGAAAACCAAACGAGTATCATCTGCTTTCATTAACGTTCGTCGAATGAGATTTTTTTTGTCCCATGAAAGACGCAATTTTAAGCACATCCGGTGGTGATGCAATTTTGTGTACGCCAGGCGAGACAAATTGTCTAGTGAAAGTACAAGTTGCAGCTGGCGCCAGACAAAATGTGTCACGAGACGGGAACAAAATTGTATCAGCGTCGGATGTGCTTAAAATTGCATAAATCGTGGGACCAAAAAAAGTCCCATGACATTTAGTGTGCACGCAATGGAGAACATTTGCACAAAGCAACGATTTTGGGATAAAAGTTTTACGATAGTCGGGGAATACTGCGTGCGCAAGCCTCAAGTGGCGTAACAGGGCGCGGCGAGCGTGCGTCACAACGCCCTTGAGCCGCGCACAGTATTTCTTAGGTATTCCCTGCGCTGCAAATGCAAGCCGCGTCCCACCTGCACAACTTTAGAACACGCTTGGTGTTCAAGTGTACGTGGTGCTGCATAATTTTAAACCTTCGTACCATCATGTACAAATGTTTCATTCTTGCGCACAAAATCATACCACGTATGCTCTACAACGTTTGAATTACACGCTCAAATATTAAAAGAAAGATCTAGTGCGAACTGCGCTGCTAATCACAGTGTAGAGGAACAGTCTCACACTATTTGATGTGAGTCTAAATGTTCCTCGCTTGCAAGTGTGCGGCACCTATGTCCCACACTCGGAAGTGTACGACACGGTCTGTCCCGTTATTCGTCTATAACAGGCTCTAGGCTTCATGCCACGGCACGGGACCGGCGATTATAAGTATGCGACAGGCCGTGTCTCAACTCGCAAGCGTTATAGTCACTTTGGTTCAGGCCAGGTAGCGAGACTGCCCCGTGCCACTCATATCTGCGAGATAACTTGGTATTCGGGACAAGATGCGTGTAATGTGGAATATACAATAGTTAGAAGTCCGCTTTTGGCCCTATAACTCAGTGAAACGCGGGCGAAGCGAGCCAGATGCCATCGAAATACGGAAAGTACAAGCTAAAGCACTGTGCGAAAAATCCACACTGAATCCCGTTAATTTTTTTTGCCGGGATTTACTGTAGTTCAGAACACAGGATGAACCGTTCCAGGCTACAGTATCTACTGTACCTGGTACAGGATATTCCGTACTCCACTCCTGTGGTACAGTAAATCCCGTACAAAGTACAGAAGATCCTGTTAAAAAAGTACAGTAAATCCTGTACTCTGAACTACAGTGACAGCTGTACTAATCACTACAGGATTTACTGTGATTTTTTCCCACAGTGAGCTTTTATAAAAGCAAGTACACACATTAAAAAGTCATTGAAGAACGGAAAAAGCCAAAAAGGGCGAGCGAAGCGAGCAGAGCCAGCGAATATATGAGAATATTAGCGTATTTTGGTTCAAATTTGGGCACTTTACACAAACTTGCCACGCCCCATCGGCGAAAACAGCCCCGCCGTTCAAGGCTAAATGGGTGCAGCGGAGGACTACGTAGCGGCTTGCCCGATCTCCCAGCATGCACCTTAGGATCGCTGCCCCCCCACTACAAATCCAAAGGTTAGACTTCTCGCCACTCCAGAGGCGAGACATGAAAGTCTCACCGAGTTTTTGTCAGACCTAAGAGTCTTGCCATAATTTGGTCAGACAAAAAGGTCTCGCCACAAAACGGTCAGACACAAAAGTGTCACCACAAAATGGCGAGACTTTTGTGTCTGACCATGGCCTCAAGGCTGTAACCGTCCGGCGCATTATGGCCTTTAGGCGGCGGTGAGACACTAAAGTCTCGCCATTTTGTGGTGAGACTTTTGTGTCTGACCGTTTTGCGGCGAGACTTTTTTGTCTGACCAAATTTTGGCGAGACTTTCAGGTTTGACCAAAACTTGGCGAGACTTTTATGTCTCGCCATATGTTAGCGCGAAGCCTTTCCATCCAATTTGCCGTGCCCGCACATTCCGCGGTCGCTGGTTGATTCTCAATCCCAATATTCAAGAAAGCCTAATTTTCTGATGGAATTTGATTTGAGCCTGCCAAAACCCCCGAAAAACGCCGATTTCTTGCACTGTTTCCGGTCCATGTTCTTCTTCTTCACTTTAGGCCATGCTAGAAGTGTCTGTACGTTGTGCCTAGGTAAAAGCCGAGTCCTTAAAATAATCATTAACATCAGTTCTACCCGGCCCGGCCAGTTAATCCGTGTTGTAATCAGTTAAAACGTGGTTTGACCTGGGACAGGGCTCGGACCAGGCTGTAATATACCCCAGGAAAAATTACGGAATCTCCGTACGAAAGGATGTAACTCCCGCTCTGGCGGTGATGGTACTGAAAATTGAATGGCCGGCCCTAGGGGTAGGTTGGGGAAGAAAAGTACAAAACGCGTACTTTGCACTTTCAGTTTGCAGTTTCAAATGAGGATTCAACTAATCTGCTCTCGTGAACTTGTAATCCAATGCCTTCCTAATGAAATAAATCACTGTTCATTGATTATAGTTTCCTACATTACGTACAACATGCCTAAATGAATGTGATTTTGGAACTCCTCGAAAAGGGTAAGAAAAGTACACCACCGGGAAAGAAAAGTACAACGAAAAGAATTGCGATTTCGAACCAGGAGACCACCAATCTTGGCTCAATACAGGTTTGCCCCTAAAGCGGAGAGCTTTCACTTGCCATTAGTTCAAGTTTCGTCAAAATCGGTCAATTGGTTCTGATTCTACATGGACTCATCACAGAAGGTCCAAAAAGCCTTTTCTCAGAGATAAGTGGGTACAGCATTTTTGTGCTTTTCGTCCCCTTTTCACGTAAATGCCCAATAACTTGTTTATTTCTAGTCTAATTCTATAACTTGTGTTGACATTTTTGCTTGTCTCGCCTAATCAAATCTATTCCCGTGATCAATTCAATTTTCATCCCGCTTTTAGTTTCTTAGGGGGTGTATTTTTCTTCCCCAGCCGACTGTACTTTTCTTCCCCATTTCATTTTTACACTTAAAAAAAATTGTGTTGAAGCCTAAGAGCATCGAACGGCACTGTTTTTCAAAGATGATGGTCTAAGCTATAAGGCGGTACCTTACATTGGACTGTCGGCTGATTCCGCAGGAAGCTGTACTTCAAAGTACAAACATTTAAAAAAAAGATTTTTCATAGTTATTTTTAATGTTTTTTTCTAACGTGCAGTTTGATTCTAAATATTCTATGTAGAACTGGGCTAAATTTATTTTTTGCGAGGGGTGAATCACTAGTGTACTCATGTGTACAAATTTGCCCATACTCAGTGTACTCACAAGGTCAAAAAGGGCGAAATTCACTAGTTTTTCGACTGATTTGGCGTCAAGTGTCGTTTAAAACGCTTAATTAAGCCTTAAATTGATTAGATATGTAAAAATTTATGAGTGAAGGAAGGTGTACTCGCGCGTACTCATGTGCTCATGTGTACACCAGAACGCTGGGTGATTCACCCCTCGATTTTTTGTCAGCGGGATGACCAATCTTTCTAAAACCACTAACGTGATGGTTTTGTGTAGTTTCAGTTCGGAGATATAACGGGTGTACTTTTCTTACCCGAGCCTCGAGTGTACTTTTCTTACCCAACCTACCCCTATAGCCACATTATCGCATGTCAAAAAGCCACGCCCAAAATCGGCCTAGTAGGAAAAGTCACGCCGAGAACCAGCATGACGAGTGAGTCTTGCAGGTGCCTCGCGTGACTGTGGCCTAGGTATAGGGTATGTCGGAGGAGCTGTAGCTCGGAACACTGAAAATAGAAGAGTCAGCCTTTTGACCCCTCAAAGGGTCATACTGACATGTAAGACCGAAAAATGGTCATACTTCGATGTATGGCCGGAAAATGGCCATGCTTTATTGTATTTCGCAGGTAAAGGTTTATAAATCCCCACGCTAATCAAGGGCCAGTCTCGCTGTTGTCTGACCTTCGTTTGGTCATACCTTTGAGTATGACTTTTTCCGTCATACATTTATGTATGACCAGTTTTTGGTCATACTTTTTGTACCACCGAAAATCTATCAGATGTTTCACCCATCGAATTTCAGTGAAGTAGAAGAACAAAAACGGAAGAAACGGCAGAGCTCTTCCGACATACCGTATTGGCGCGTACAGTGCGTTTTCTGGGGGAATACCGCAGGCCGGGGTAATGTGAGACAATTTCGGGGTAATATGAGACGCTTGATATTTGCCGTTAGAGTTATAATGCTCGTGGCATTTGATGACTCATCCCTGTCAAACTTCACGGCGAAAAATGGTACCAACAAAGAGAAATTAATTTTTTACAGCAGTGGCTCTCATTGTGGCCGAATAGCGAGCTCAGAGTGAATCTGACGCAATCCAAACTCCGTCTCATATTACCCCGAAATTGTCTCTTACGGCTTACGGTAGACGTGCGAAAAATCGGCATAGCAGCGATGTAACGCCTATTTTCGTTGTAACTTCCTGGTCCCCACTGTCACTGCAATGCCAGTGGAAAGTTTACATGCCACAAATTTGGCAAGCCGTTTTGAATGCCAATTTTTCGCAAGCTTAGTCCGGAAATACTCCCCAGCTTGCCAAAATTTGGCAAGCTTGGCCCGGAACTACTCCACAGCTTGCCAAATTTGGGAAGCTTATGAAGATGGCCGACCAAAGCTTGCCAAATTTTGGCATACAAAACGGCTTGCCAAATTTGTGGCAAGCAAACTTACCACTGGCTTTGCAGTGGTCCCCACGGCACGATGGCATCCTGACACATTTTGCTGGTCTCAGGTTTGAGTCATGGCTAGCGCTGCTGAGGCGGAGGGGGGAGAGGCCGTGAGGCGCGGGCGGTCCTTACCCAGAATGTGCTGTGCACAGCTAAGGCGGCGGAGCGCCCCGCCACCGTCGCCACCCCTCCTCTCCTCCCCTCCGTCGCCACTCCTGGCCCGACGCGACTGCTCGCCGATTGTTATCGCTCGGGAGTCTCGGGCGGCGGTCGGTCGGTCGGCAGTGCTGTTGCAGTGCAGTGCCAGCAGCCTGGCCGGAAGGCAGTGTCGTTTGTTTACTCCAGTGGCTGCCGTGGTACTGCAGCGAGCACCGTCGTTCTCGATAGCGGAAGAATTATGGATCTCAGTGCCCGATTACGTTTGATAGGTAAGTTGGATTCGCGGATTCAGCGAGAAAATGAGTGTTTCAGCGAAATTTCGGCCCTTTGGTTTTGACACGAAGGGCAAATTCTCTGAGACACTGATTTTTGTTCGCTTTGAGGGGGTAGTACACTACGCAAGGTCAAATGACACCGTGTTTCCGCAAATTTTTAGCGGACGCATGACATAAGGCGCTTGCCCCCCTGCCGGACTCCGGCGATGGCTAAAGGAACTTATTTTGTGTTTTGACGGGGAATCGTTTTTGCGAATACTCCGTGCCATTTTCGTTCAGGTAGTGTAGCCTTCTCCCGAGAGATGGCACTACAGTCACACTGCAAATCCAAGTTTAGGACAGGTCGACACTTTAAAGCGTAGACCAGTTTGTCCTACGCTTGCAAGTGTCGACCAGTTGTGTCCGACGCTTTCAAGTGTCGACCACACACTGTCCGACACCCGCAAGTGTCGACCACAGAATGTCCGACGGCTAAGGTGTGGGGTCACAATAGGAAACCCAGTGTAATTTGCCGTAGGACAAACAGTGTCCTACACATGCAGGCGTCGGACACAGTGTGGTCGAAACTTCGAAGCGTCGGACACAACTGGTCGAAACTTGCAAGCGTAGGACAAACTGGTCTACGCTTATAAGTGTCGACCTGTCCTACACTTGGATTTGCAGTGCAGGTACCGTAAACCGGGGTTACTTGAGACAGCAAGGGTAACTTGAGACACTTCTGCTTTTCCACCTTTTAGGAGCTGCCACCTGGCTCGGCACATTCGGAGGTCAAAAGTGCCCTAGCACTTTTTTTCATACTTGTTTGGAAAGACGATTAAGCGTTTGAATGCCGGGTTAGGACCCAGCTGGTCAGTTCTATAACGATTTTTCAATTTTAGTAAATTTAACAATTTTAGAGAAGTGTTTACAAGTCTCCCTTGGTACTCGAAACACGTCTTGCTGAGACCCAAATGCCCATAGTATCTTCCAACCTTATTATTTCAACATTCTAATTGCAGCATTGGTTTTGAGAGTAACCCATCATGCATCGGGTAATACTGACTTTTTTAGAAAATGGTAACTGTACGGGGTAACTTGAGACACCAAATTTCATTGAATTTGACGGAAGTTGAGTGGCGTAACTTGACACTGGCACCTCCTTGTACTACAGAGTGGTTTAAAGTAACGGACCTCTCCGTTCTAAGATCAAAACTAAGCCGCATTTGATCGGGAATCACTTTTTTAGACAGTGTAGAGGGTTCCAAGTGGATATGCAGCTTAAAGTTGGAGTGTTTTCTCAACTACACACGGACCAGATGGGATATAATAAATCTTGAAGTCTCAAAAGATGGGAAATTTAATTACCTTTCCAACGAGCTAAATGTCATTAAAATCGGACAACTTATAGCCCAAGAACCGTTTTTTTTAATAGAAGGGCGGGCCAAAAAGTGTTCTCTTTGCGATGGAGAAAAGATTAGCCACTTAGACCCACTGTGCCCTTTTTCGCACCAATTTCTATCTCTTCGTGCAGCGCGCCGCCGCCGCGCGGATATACGTCAGCCCCCGCAATCCACTCTGCTCCCCTTTCCCTCCCCTCCTCTGCTTCCTCTCTCTCCCCCACTTCCTAACCTCTTTCACCGCCCTCCCCCTCCTCAGTGTGTTGCGTAGCCTCATGGCAAGCGAGTTGGTGTCGGCAAGTTGCGGATGAGCAGGGAGCCTACGTTGTTAAATACTTCTTCAAAAACTGCAATGTGAAATCAGGGCGCGGCAACGGCCTAGGGAGCGAGCCATGCTCGAGCGAGGTGCAGGGTTTTCGGACTTTTCTTCGATTGTCAAAACTAGGCCGTTGTTTGCAAAACGCTTTGCACAGATCAAAAGAGCATGAAATTCAGGGTGCATTAGGCCTTGTAGCCTCGTTGCCGAAACGTTTTTGATGATAATAGATGACATAATTGTAACCGCCTTGTAATCGAGACAGTGATTTTTAATCAAATTACTGAACCGGTAGACCATTAAGACCTGTCCAAACCCTCAAAGCATAGCTGGAAGGCATGCCCGGAAACCAGGATTCATAGCAATGGAGAAGCTCATAGTAGGGAGGATTGAGTGCTCGATTGAGCTTGTGCTGCTGGAATGTCAGAGACATGTGTAAACACCTGCGGGTACTCAATAAACTCGCCATAACCAGCAAGGCGCGTAGTGGGTTATAATTTGCGTCCGTTCGTCAACTAGCATTCAGTGATCTGTCCTGACCAGTTTTGCTCCTGCTATAACCCTGAGATGGGTTTCCGTGTCGTCCATCGCCCTGACCGGCTTGTACAAACATCTAGGGAATGAATAGTTGCCGAACTAGTTAATAGTTATGGAGGCAAGTGAACTACCTTGAAACACTCGACACGAGAGCAACAAAGTGGACATCGGCATTTTATTTATCTCTTTACGCATGAGTAAGTGATGGAGTCCTTTGTCCCAAGGATTCGGGCTGAGCGTGCTATGAGTGCCACTGAAGGTAGACTAGCGCCTCAGTGTTCGAGAGACACCCTAGGGCGTCTAGAAGTCAGTCGCATTACCCAAAATGCCTAAGACATTGGCAGTTTACGTCAAAGGAAGCTGCACGGTGTCTCCAGCCAGAAAATGTCGTGCGGGTTGCCTACTTCGTTATAAACGCGGACCTAACGCATTCCTTATGCGACATAAGTTATTTTTAGTGGTGAAGAGTCAGTTTATAGCTCATTACGTTGTGTAGAAACGCGAAAATGTGGTCAAAATGCCGTGTGGGTCAATTTGGCCCGCTTGGCGCTTTACGGTAAAAGTCAATTTATCTCGGTCAAATATGGTCCGAGAACGTCCAGATTTCGACTTTAGACGCATTTCATCATTCTAGGAAAAGTCAGAAATTAGGGGGCTGCCACTTTCATTTTCAAAAGTCGAAATTACAGTTCAAAACTCAAAATGGGTCAAATGGGCCCGTTCGGCGCTTCTAGTGTTAACATGGCGCTGCTGAAATTTTTCCTGCATTTTGTGATTTTTCGTGTTTTTGGGTGTTTCTACTCCAATTTATTTTTAAGTAAGGTGGGAGTTTCGAGCAGGGCAATTAGTAGACTGTCCCACGAAAAATTACATGTTCTGTTAACGCACGGGGCACTTGAAAAATAAGTTTTAAATGTAAAAAAAGGAATAAATTCTTTTGGCCCAAGCATTCGAAAGTGAAAACAACCGCTTTTTGGCAAATTTCACGTTTTCTTCACAGCCACGGCGCTTCCCGGCCGTCCCTCGCGACTCGGTCGGACTCTTAGTACCCTCGCGTAACATTCCAGCACCAACCCGACCCTTGCCGACCCAAAAGCCCTTTTATAATAGCCCAAAACAATAATTTTTTTCAGAAATTTTTGTTGAAAAGTGCTGAAAAAGGTGCAAGGAGCGAAGATTAGGGAAATCTGTGTGGCTCAATCGATTGGAAATCATCGAAAACCCAAGTACCCAAAATTGGAAGTACCCACGGTCAGAAATGGCCGCACCCGTAGCAGTGCAAATACGCAATTTTCGAGAAACGGCCTATTTTTCATCGAGGCGTTCCAGACCAAAAAAGCCACTTGGCCGGCGACCATCTCGGATCAAGCTCAAACTTTTTTCAAACCCCCAAAATGGCTGTTTTTGAGGGTTTTGGACTTGTTGGGTTGGTGGAACAGGCTGGCCAAAAAATGTTCCCTTTATATTTTTCTTGTAGAAAATGGTACGCTCTTTCGGATGGCGTGTCGAACGAGGCTCTACGACGTCGGGCTTCGACGCTACGGGCTCTCAAAGTTGCCCAATTTCACTATTATCACTGGAGATTTGAGCATATCAGGGCCGAATCGAAGTATACCATCGGCGATTTCACTCCTCTTTGGCTTAAGGGGGGACCCTGGTGAATAAATGGCATCGTAATCTACGACAAAAATTTTGTCGTAGAACGACTTCTTGCGTTCCTGGTTGACACCTACATGAGTCGTCTTGCATGGACTCTGTTCATTGATGACTTGTGGACAAATTTTAGTGACGGAATCTTGATATCAGCCCTACTTTTTTTTCCACACACCTAAAAGTTCGAAAAAAAAAGGCCAAAAATTCACTTTTCTATGTTAAAATTTGAAAATTCATATCTGAGGACAGAAGTTGAAATTGAAAACTCCGTCACTGAAATCCCTTCTATACATCTTAAGGATAACCCAAAAAAATTATCAGGACTTTCCGTTCCAATGAAAGACGCAGGAAGATTTTCCCCCAACGCTCTAAAAACACTAAAAAGCCTCTTTTCTCAGAGACCGTTCAACATTTTGGATTGAATTTTGTTTTGGGAACTCGCCATAATGAACATAATAATTAAGCAAAGTTTCAACTTCCTGGGATTATTTTAAAGCCTACTTGAAAGTTTCACCAGGGTCCCCCCTTAAGGCACCTTACCCTAATACACAGTAAATTGAAATGACAGAATCTGTAGTGGTCTGTGAGCCCCAATTCGCAGAAACCGACAGGTAAATAGATCCGGGGCGGTTTTGCACCAAAACCGCCAACGGCAAACTCATTCTGCACACAGGCGACGGAATCTGTGCACTCGCCACGGAATCCAGACAACACTGGACCGTAATCGTCAATTGCGATTCCCTCCACCTCGCGACTTTGAGATGTTATATTATTGGAAATAGAGAGTATAGATGTACCGCGTAAGGAAAATATTAATTTATAGACTTGTCAAAGCAAGGAAAAGTATGCACACTCATCAAAATATGTTAAGGGGGCAATACACTGAAAATGGCCAAAAACTGACTTGTGCGATTGCTTCCATACGCGTTGTTGAGCGTTGTTCAAACTTTTCATGTGTCAAGACCTTACAAAAAGAAGCATTTTAAGCCCAGAATAGCATCGATCGGACGTCAGGGAGCGGAGCAGCGCCCAATCATATTTTCGTCAAAAGTCGAACTGGCGGGCGTCCCTCAGTCCGCAAAAATGAAGATATCTCGACCCCGTTTGCGCCA